AGCGGAACTTTTAGGAAACAGGCTGCTCTGGGGTAGAGGCTTTGCTTAAAAGAATTTTAAATACTTGAGTTTAATGTTGACGTTTCATGCTTCTTCAATTAGCAAAGAAAAGGGAAATAAGAGAAGAAAGGTAGGATTATATAATATCAAAAGGAAAATGACAGCCTGCCTCTGCCGAAGGCAGAATGAAAGCACAGTTTACCATATGATGATACCACAGCTGACATACTCTTCTTATACCAGCCTCTCTGTCCTCAAGACGCACATACACAGGTGCACATAAAAAGCTAAGAAGAAGTCACTTTGGGAAGTTTAATCTTAGCCCATCAACAGAAGGGCCCATCGTACTGTAAACACCAGAATGAGTACATTATGAGGGTTGCTAATGGCTAATTAAAATCTGAAGATCGGGTTTCTGGGCACATCTTGCTACATCTGGGCACTAGGCAGTCCCAGATGGTACGAGAACTGAGTTTGGGGCCTGCTCCCTCATAACAGGCTGTCCCTGCAACATTGCCAAGGTGGGGAGTGACAGAATCTTGCAACCACAGCAAGAGACCCCTGCCTGCAGTCTCCTTGGGCACGGCCCTGTTCCTGACTCTGAAGGTCCGAGAGAAGGTTCTGGTCAACTGCTGGGTCCCAGAAACAAGGCTACAGTTACATCAACACCAGAGGGGATCTAGTTTTACTCCTTGGGAAAGAGAATGGTCACAGTACTCAGCATATTGCTCCCCTCCCCCAAGACTGTCTCAGAAGGGGCACAAGGAAACTTTCTGGGGTAAGGGAAACACTCTGTGCCTTGACTGAAATGTAGGTAATGTGGGTGTATGTGTTTGTCCAAAGTATAGAATTAAGTCTCTTAAGATTTCTGCATTGTGCTCTATGCAAACTGTACCTAGAAAATAAGAACCGTGCACAATGATCAAATTCCAGGTGATAGGCTTACTATCTGCGATGGTATGGACTGGCAATTTTGGAACTACTTTCTGTGGAGTCTAGTGAATCAGCCGGCGAAATGGGAGCCAGGTTTCTCATCTCAGGGGAAGGTAGTTACATGCATAGAAAGGGAGAGATTCTCACTACCAAAGGTGGGTAACATACACCATGTGCCTCCTGACATGAGGACACATCATCTCTTCTTTCATCTCATCTCTCTGCCAAAAATTCATCAACTGAATCTAGTCATAAGGAAACAGCAGACAGATCCAAACAGAGGGAAATTCTACAAGATAACTGGCACAACGTCAAAGTGTTCAAGTTAAGGAAAGATAAAGAAAAGCTAAGGAACACTTCCAGACTGAAGGAAGCCAAACAGACATGACAACTAAAGGCCTGATCCTCCTGACTTGGATTCTGGTCTGGAGAAAACGCTTATGAAGAACATTACTGGTACAAGTAACAACACCTGAAACAGACTGTGCGTCAGGTAACAGTATTATGCAAACATTTGCCTGCCTGCATTTGATAAGTGCATTCTGCTTAGGCAAGACAAGAATCTTTCTGAGGAACCATACACTGATGTATTTAGCTGTAAACAATCACAGTGTCTCCAACTCATTCCCAGAGTCTCAAGAAAAAGAGGAGGGGGACTTCCCTGGTGGTCCAGTGGTTAAGAATCTGCCTGCTGATGCAGGGGACACAGGTTCAATCCCTGGTCTGGGAACTAAGATCCCACATGTTGCAGGGCAACTCAGTCCATGAGCCACAACTGCTGAGCCTACGAGCCCCAGAGCCCAAGCTCCGCAACCAGAGAAGCCACCACGGTGAGAAGCCCTGCGTTGAAGAGCGGTCCCTGCTCGCTGCAAGCAGAGGAAGCCAGAGCACAGCACTGAAGACCCAGCACAGGGGAAAAAACAGAAAGAAAGAAGAAGAGGAGGGGCAGGGAGGGAGAAGATCACATATACACAAACGGGGAAAAATATAAACAAAAAGCTGGGAGATCTGGGTAAAGGCGTTCCTTGTACTAGTCCCACAACTTGCCTGCAAGTTAAAAATTATATCAAAGCAGAAAGGTACCCCTCCAAATACCCTAACTTTCCCTAAATTATCTAGGTGGAAAATCTAAAAACAACAAATTAATTCAAAGTATTACGAGAAATTCAAGAATATTGGTTTCAAAATTATACTTTTTCCTTTGGTAGCAGTTCCACAAAACTATTTGGCTCTGAAAACTTAAAAAGAAGAACGAAAAGACAGACACAAACGTTGAAATAGGATTTTTTGAAATTCCAGTGACAGATACTACCTATCATTTTAGAAAGTCTTACAAGGCGATGGCGGAAATCAGAATGAAAGCAACTCCTCACTGCCCTCCTCCCTCCAGATCTTCCAATATTTTTTCTGGAAGATGGAACAATTCACCTGGCTGCATGCCAAGCTGAAATCGATTAGGATAAGGAACAATGTGAATGTAGATGATCTAGCTTCCCTGACACCTACATAGAGAACTGTACTCTTCCCCAGCTCAGGCCTTATAAAAGGTCTATGTTTTATTTACATAAATAAGGTAATGAAGGCATTAGTACTCAGCACAGTTTATTCTACCTCCCCAGTCTATCTGTACTCATGGTTAAATCAAGACACAAGAATGGCCTTGTGTGTGTGTGTGTGTGCTCGGTGGTGTCCGACTCTCTGCAAGCCCATGGACCGCAGCCCTGGACCAGGCTCCCTGGTCCATGGAATTTTCCAGGCAAGAACACTGGAGCAGGTTGATTCTTCCCGATTCAGGGATCAAACCCACATGTCATGTGTTGGCAGGCAGATTCTTTACCACTGCGCCACCTGGGAAGCCCATTCTATTTAGTACTTTGCTTTTTAAAATTGTAACAGTACTTCATGGAAGTAGTATCAAGACACAAGTATGGCCTTAGTTCTATGGGGGGGGTGGGTAGAGGTGGGGGGCGGGTAGCAAAAATACTGAAAAGTACCAAAGGAGAAAACTACTTCATAGATGTCAAAGGAGAAATTTTTAAGTCAATTTTAGCCCCAAAGAATCTTTTTCAAACAAAAACAACTGTGATATGACTCAGTATAAAAAAAAGTATGCATTAAGAAAAATTCATACGCACAGAGATGAAAATATAACTGTATTTGTCATTTCAAAGTATCAATGCTGGGTCTGCAGATAATACAGAATGACATTCTCCTAAGCAAATAAGTAAGGTAGCCAAGTAAGTAAATGCTGGGCTTCTACTGTAAGGAAATACATGCACCCACGAAGCAACCTTTTCAGCACAAAAGAAATTTAATACCCGGACCACAAGAAAAGTGATCACTCTGGGAATAACACAGCTGTTAAAATGCAAGTCAGTTTGTATTAAGTCCTCCGGCGTGTTTATGTAAAGCAGGACTCTCAGAATGACCACTAAGAGGAAATACTTTGCTAACAAAAAAGTACCATCTACATTTAAGGCTTACAATAAGTGTGAAAGAAAAAATGCAAAGCTATGCTCTTTCAAAGAATATAAGGGACGGCAGCTAGCGGATGTGCTTGAGTTCCTTTTATAAACAGTATCTCCGGGGCTAATTTAATTAGAAATAGAACAAGGAAAAAAAATGAGTGTTTGCATTTCACTTAGAGAACCTAATTATCTTCACCTCATTTGACTAACTAGACCTAGATAAAGCCACAGAGAAGTCTCTGACACTTGTGTCAAACAATTTCAATATGAAAATTAATACTGCCAAGTTATTTTGAGACCAGTTAGCTCAGACATTCAAAGGGGGAAGAAAAGGTACTGTGCTAAAGAGCACATAATCCTAAAAACTGCATTTCTGAAGACGAAAGTGCACGTAGACATCCTTGAGGCCTTGGCTCAGGCACATAGATATAAGACGCCCTAGAGAACCCACAGGAAGTATGAGCTTGTGGATAACTACCTACAAATGGTAAAGTTTAACTCTCAACATGGACACTTGGGATGCAGAGTGATAAAACCAGAGCTCAGTTTGCTTTTGAAGAAGAAAGAAAGAAAATATCACTTGAAGTTTTTGAGCACCTAAAATTAACCAAATTTATCAACACTGTTGGTCAAATCTGAATTAACTTTTTAGAGAAACTGGTCAAGATGGTGCTTCTCCTAAGCACCATCCCAAGTAAGACCCAAGACCCAAGTAAAATTTTCAAAGACAGCTTGTCATCTCAGAGTGCAGAGACTTTACCCAGAATTCAGTCCTGTTCAGACTGATGTAGGCTACGCAGCAAAGAAGTCCCAAATTTATAACGACCCCAACGTTTGGGATTAATAACCCCAATGCCTAACACTTGAACATGGAAGTCTTACCAAGAATCTTGAGTTTTAAAAGCCAGGTTAAATCACTGGGGGTTAGAAGGCTTACAGAGGTTTCCAAAAGGAAGTCAGCTAGAACACACAGTGTATGTGCAAAAATAACTCAGACTATCTCAAGGCCTATTAAAAAAAAATGAGATGCTATGACTGTAGGTCTGAGACACATCAGCCGGTTCCGTTACAACGGGGGACACACCAGCTCTGTTTTTAGAGCCCCTGGAAAGATCAAAGCTGAACGGGCCCTTTTCTTGGCTCCCCAGCCAGGACCCTAATCTCTGTCTACTTTTTCTTTGTTGTTATGTGGAACTCCAAAAGACAACACCATCACGACTGCCTGGTCTCCCTCATCCTCTGAGCAACACTTAAAAAACTGCTCTGTGATGGTCTGTGTGAGCGAGGAGCCCTCCGGGGAAGAACAAAGATGAGAAAAGTTCAAGTCTGAGCCCGCACCAGCCTGCTGCCAGGACAGACACAGAGCTGTAACGGTCTAACTGTCTCTCTCGCTATTCTACAAACCAAACCTTCTCAGGCAGGTTTCCCTGTGAGAATGAACACAGATAAATGAAAACGTAACCCCTTCTGCTTTGGTTTTTTTTTTTAGACCCTCGACCTCCCCCATGAAAAGCCCTCAGCTGGTTTGGGTGCCTCTGGCTGGGAAGGCTGACGGGGCTCATATTAAAAAACAAGCCCCGCCAATGTAGAACGACTTACTTTGGAAGAACAAGCTGTGCATTTGTCAAAGGCCAGGCTGACGGGAAGGACGTTATCAAACCGTGACAGAAATCCTCGTATCTAGAAACAAACAAACAAAAATTCACGTCAAGCCCCGAATGACAGACCTGCAAAGGACATGTGTAGTTTCTGACAAGAAGTGGGGAACAATTCACCTGTACTCTTGACACAGATTATGAACAGATTACTAATGAAAATGGACTTCAATGTACTTTAGTACTTGTGCTAAATAAATCAGTTTTGAAGAACTATACTAGGTCCTTTATTCCATTAAGAACTGGCACACAAGCTTTGCACATATCTTGAGACCTAAACACAAACTGACTCTAAAACATAAAAAGCAAGCTGAAAAATCTGTTGTTTTAATAAATGTCTTCAAATATATAATCAGCCAACTAGTTTATTATGGCAATTCTCACATATGTTACAGTGAATATAGGAGAAATGTGCACTTTAGGATATGGCATTGGGTGGGGCCTCACAAGGCAAGAAGGTCTGTGAACAATAGAAGGTAGAAATGCTCCTAAATGTTTATTGAGTTACTTGCCTGACTTGGAACCCACAGAGATAAAAATGCAAACATTACCAAAAGTATGGGAAAACAGCGCCACCCTGAGCATAAAATTCTGAACTACATCTGATTCTCACTTAAACAGGGTATCAGCCTGGGACAGAGAATAAGATGGTTGGATGGCATCACTGACTCAATGGACATGAGTTTGAGCAAGCTCCAGGAGTTTGTGACGGACAGGGAAACCTGGCGTGCTGCAGCCCATGGGGTCACAAAGAGTCGGACACGACTGAGCGACTGAAGTGAACTAAGCCTGGGAAATCCCATGGACAAAGGAGCCTGGTGGGCCACACAGTACATGGGGGTCACAAAGAGTCGGACACAAGGTGATAGATTTTCGCTTCCAGCTATAATCACTAGATGGCAGGGGGAAGTGACAGATCTCGGGTTCTAAAATCACTGCAGACGGTGACTGCAGCCACGAAATAAAAACACGCCTTCTCCTTGGAAAGGAAAGCAATATAAACCTAGACAGTGTACTGAAAAGTAGAGACATCACTCTGCTGACAAAGGTCTGTAAAGTCAAAGCTATGGTTTTTCCAGAAGTCATGTACAGATGGAGAGCTGGACCATAAAGAAAGCTGAGCACTGTAGAATCGATGCTTTCGAATTTAGGTGCTGGAGAGCAAACAAGATCGGTCTGATCAACCCAGATCAAATGAGCTGCAAGGAGATCAAGCCAGTCAATCCTAAAGAAAATCAACCCTGACTCTTCATTGGAAGGACTGATGCTGAAGCTCCAATACTTTGGCCACCTGATGCGAAGAGCCAACTCATTGGAAAAGGCCCTGAAGCTGGGAAAGACTGAAGGCAAAAGGAGAAGGGGGTGGCAGAGGATAAGATGGTTAGATAGCATCACCAACACAATGGACATCAATTTAGGGCAAACTCCGGGAGACAGTGGAAGACAGAGGAGCTTGGCTGCAGCCCATGGGTTCGCAAAGAGTGGAACACAACTTAGTGGCTATACAACAGTAAGATATAGTCCGTTTTTACAAACTATGATTTAGGTAATTTGTTCAGATATTATACCTCCAGAACTACACTTGTACCAAAAGAAGAGTTTAAACTTTATCATTTGTTATTGCTGTTCTGTTGTTGCTCAGTCATGTCAGACTCTTTGCAACCCTATGGACTGCAGCACACCAGGCTTTCCTGTCCTTTATATTTATCATATTATTAAAAATACATCTGGTGAAATCTCTGGAGACTCCAGAGGACTCAACATTTATAAGAAGCCAAACAACACAAATCTTCTCCCCAGTTAATTTATTTGATCTTGACAATTGTCCCGCTGATGGGACTCTGGGGAGGGTGAAGAATGTTGGCTCAGGCAAGCAGAGAGTGACTACGCTAAGATTCAGAAGTAGGTCTCCAACTCCAAACCTGCCCGGGCTCCCCACCCTGGGCTCCCCCACCCCACCCCCCGTTCCTCCCTCGGACAGCACAGCTTTCATCTTCCATATGAGGGCTCACCTCACATTTAACAGCCTCACTTGAACACAGCACAACAACCAACCCCCCCACCATCCCACCCCTAGTTCTTGCTGCCTTTAGCCACATTAGCAATTTCTCTGCTACCCACCTCAACCCCAAATCCCAACAAAACCTGGCAAACTTTTTGGGGACAGACCTCCTTCACAGTGTGGGTAATTCTACTAAACCAACAATCTAGCTGCATTTGCACACTTATCAGGGGAAAATCTCACCTTAAAGGAAATGCCCACAGCAATCTTTTAAATGTCGTCATCTATATGTGATGAGATTTCAGTGTAAAGCAAGATCGAAAGAGTGTTTGGTAGAAACGATGAATTAGACAGGTGGGATAAGTAGCCGGCCTCACGGTGAACCTTTGAAAATGGGACAATCGTGAGTTTCCTGTGTCTTGGGAAGGTGGTGACCATTTCCTCGGCCAGTACTTGAGGCACAAGCAGGGCCCTGAGTCTGCTCTCTGGCTCACCAAGACCGGAGACGGCAAACCGGCAGGAAAAACTTTAACGGCAGACCACAAACGGGCATGTTGACGTTCTCGTGAGGCCTTGAAGTGACAGGACTGAAAAAATTCTCAGACCGAGTCTCCTCAAATCTCAGTGGCTCTCACATTAAATTTACTTAGAAACATTCATCATATGTAGTCTATTTTCCATGAAAATATTCACTGCCGTGGCCTACATGTCAATGGTTCCATATATGCTTCATGAAAAGGTTTCCTGTCTTTTCTTTTCTTCCATGTTGCTAGGATCAAACTTCATGTTGAGCAAAGGAACAGTGGCAATCTGCTAGACGACTGGAGGTGGGGAGATACAGGCCACGGGAAGGGAGACAGTAGAACCAATTAGGAGCAGAAAGCGAGGGAGAGAGAAGGAGAGGAAGGAAGGAAGGAGAGAGGAGATGTAAACACACAGCATAGACGTTGAGCGAAAGGAAGGAGCCGCGTGAACGGAGTGGCTGAGCGGGGGTCCCCAGCACCAATGTTTAGCACCCAGACAGCTCTCTACCAGGAAGCTGTGACTCACTTTCCCAGGAAACGAAGTAGAATAACATCTGTGTGTGAGGCCTTGCAAATTGCCTATGCTGGATCAGAAGGCTCAGAACTCCAAACTAATTCCAGTTTCAGGAGATCTAAGAGATGAAAGCCTCTTCTCACAGTGGCTGCGACAGACTCCTAACAGGGCCCTCGGCGGGAGAGCGCGCTCCCAGCACTCTGGGGTGGACTGAGGCTCCGGGCTCAGCTCTGAGGGGCCCCTTTCTCAGCTTCCTGTGCGTGCTCAGTTGCCCAGCTGTGTCCCACTCTTCTGTGACCCACGGACTGCAGCCCGCCAGGCTCCTCTGTCCATAGGATTTCCCAGGCAAGAATACTGGAGTGGGTTGCCATTTCCTACTTCAAGGGATTTTCCAGACCCAGGGTTCAAACCCTCGTCTCTTGCGTTTCCTACACTGGCAGGTGGATTCTTTACCACTGGCGCCACCTGGGAAGCCCCATCGGCTTCCTGTGACGTGAAGTTGCTCAGTCACACCCAACTCTTTGCGACCCCATGGATTGTAGCCTACCAAGCTCCTCCGTCCATGGGATTTCCCAGGCAAGAGTACTGGAGTGGGTTGCCTTTTCCTTCTCCAGGGGATCTTCCCAACCCAGAGATCGAACCCTGGTCTTCCACGTTGCAGGAGACACTTTACCATCAGCTTCCTAGGGTGACCAAATACAGCAGAGAATTCCTCATACTGGCACTCAAGGGCCCCTAATCTGGGCCCATCCTGCCTTTCCAATTATGTCCTGCATTCAATCTTTTCACAGGCTTCATATACACGACTACTAAGCTCAAAGCCAACTTCCCCCCAGACAATCTGCCATCGCTGGCCTTTGTTGTTCATTCACTCAGGCGTGTCCAACTCTTTACGACCCCATGGACCGCAGCATGCCAGGCTTCCCTGTCCTTCATTATCTCTCGAGCTTGCTCAAACTCATGTCCCTTGAGTCAGTGATGCCATCCAACCACCTCATCCTCTGTCATCTCCTCCTCCTCCTGCCTTCAATCTTTCCCAGCATCAGGGTCTTTTTCCAATGAGTCATCTCTTCACATCAGGTGGCCGAAGTATTGGAGCTTCAGCCTCAGCATCAGTCCCTCCACTGGATATATTCAGGATTGATTTCCTTTAGGATTGATTGCTGGCCTTATCTCATGCCAAACTCTGTGACTCAGTGCTCTTCCTTTTGGAAGCAGCTATATATCCAAATCTCCAGCTTCCATAAAAGCTACTCAAGGTCAAACACATCCCTTTCATAAATCCTAAAAAGCAGACACACTACTTTGCCAGCTAAGGTCTGTCTCATCAAGGCTATGGTTTATCCAGTAGTCATGTATGGATGTGAGAGCTGGACTGTGAAGAAAGCTGAGGGCCAAAGAATTGATGCTTTTGAACTGTGGTGTTGGAGAAGACTCTTGAGAGTCCCTTGGACTGCAAGGAGATCCAGCCAGTCCATCCTAGAGGAGATCAGTCCTGAGTGTTCTTTGGAAGGACTGATGTTGAAGCTCAAACTCCAATACTTTGGCCACCTGATGTGAAGAGCTGACACATTTGAAAAGACCCTGATGGTGGGAAAGATTGAAGGCAGGAGAAGGGGATGACAGAGGATGAGATGGTTGGATGGCATCACCGACTCAATGGAGATGAGTTTGGGTAAACTCCTGGAGTTGGTGATGGACAGGGAGGCCTGTCTTGCTGTGGTCCATGGGGTCTCGAAGAGTCAGGCACGACTGAGCGACTGGACTGAACGCATCCCTTGACTTAGAGATTATGCCTTCAATATGTGAAATTCTTCTTTTTGGTATTTATCACCAAAATACCTTGTGCAATAGTTATTTCTTTAAAATAAAATAACAGGGGTATTGAGATTAAAATTCACGTACCATAAACTTCATCTTTTTAGAGTATACGATTCAGTGGCTTTTAGAATATTCATGGAATTTCATAACCATCAGCAATATCC